CTTCCCTGCACGGCAAACAGGATGCTATGAGATCCTGCTGCTGCTGAGGACAAGCCCCGCAGCGACGAGGGGAAGGGGGACAGAGTAACCCCCTCGCAAATATGTGCCCCCCCCACTCCTCTGTCTCAGTGTCATGAGGTCAGGAGATAGCACAGAGGCAGAGCTGCCTTTTTGCAGGGAAGCTCTTCTCCTCTCCAAAGCCTCTTTCTGAAAGCTCAGCTGGACCTGGGAGTCTGGATTGGACCAAGGATCACAGAGGAATCTTTGGAGACTGTTGTATGTATGTGTTCCCCAGCTGTGGTCAGTGGCGAGATCAGGCAAGGCCCAGCTGTTCCACCAAACTCTGTGATAAAGGTGTAACACAAAAGCCACTGGCCCTGTCCACACTGCTCCTACGCTGAGCCACTGTCACCTAAGAGACACTAGTACCTGTCCAGTCTGGTGTCCCGTCACCACCAGTGTCTAGCAGCAGACATCCAGGGAGGCAGGGAACAGGTTGAACACAGCAACATAGCCCGGGTTGCATTCCCAGCCTTCAACAACACAGGGTATCTCAGGCTGGAAGCACCAACCTGACACTCAATAGCTCATCATGGATTTTTTTTTTTTTTTTTTCCTTGGAATCAAGCTCTGACTATCTCACCATGGATCTTTTCCAGCTCAAGGCCTCCTGCTGCTCCTCCAACTTATAAAGAGGTGTTAAAATATAATGATAAAATGCAAGCCAACTCGACCAGGCCTGGATAAAGTTTCCATCATGTTCTTAAAGAGATGACTTTGCCAAGGTAGGAAAAACTAAGTCACAGACTTGGAGAAGTAGGAAACGCCAAGTAAGGTGGTTCTCCCCACCCAGCAGCTAGGGAAACGTGGGAAGGAAGGCGGTTGCAGCCAGACCATTTTATCTCAGAGACCAGATGGCTTTAAATGCTTCCCCAGAGCTTGGAAAGGGCCAGGCTCTGCTTTGAATTGCTTTTCATACCACCTCATTAGAAAGTAAAAGGAAAGAAATGAACAATCTATAACTTCGTGGCATTGAGAAACAGCTCTGTTAATCCCATTTCCTTCCCTGAGTTTACTCAGGGCAAGTCATCCAGCATCAGGGCCACATCACCTAATCTGCTGATCACTGCCCTGCAATCAGGAAACTGGGCACCAGACCAAAGGGCAAACGCATCCTCCTGGGCATTATTAATAAATTGGAAAGTCTCAGGTTGTTAAACCTGACCCTCGTGCTTCCTTGTGACGCTCCCAGCACCCAGCATCTACATGCTGCTGCGGATCCAAGCAGTGTCCACCACCCAAACCCAAGCAAGAGGGGCAGAGCATCGCACCCAAGGGGGTGCAGATGGGAGGAGAAGGAAGGTGCTGCAGGGAGAGGCATCCTAGGGCAGGCACCGCAAAGACCAAGGTGGCGGTACAGGCTGTGGCAAACATCAACCTCTGGCTTAGTTTCCCAACTGAGGAGCATCACGTTTTCAGCAAACTATTAGCTGTATATGACAAAGCCAGGCATCTTGGTCTGGAGCTGGCTGCCAGCACTGCTGCCCTGCAGACACAGCTGAGGACATCAACCTCTGGCTGAGTCCAACCCACCTCTGCCTTCCACAATCCATTCCCCAAAAGATCCGGCATTCACAAAGCTGAAGGGCTTCAGGGGCACTTGAGGAATAGCTGTAGGACAGAGGAGTGGGGGAAGCAGCCGGTGAGCAGCTGGTCCAGAACCACCCAGCCCTCCAGCTAGCAAAGGCCACAAAACCAGCAGTGCAAAGGCACTCTGGGGCACACCTGCAGCCAGCCCTCCAGCTCAACTGGGATTGCTCATCCCAAATTAATCCACAGAGAATGCTGCCCTCTTTTGGGTTTAACATGACTGTCAGAAATTCAGGGAAATTTGGAGAGGTGCAAGACCTGTGCTTTTGGGGGCTCAGAACTCCACAAAGGGGTTCTCAAACGTGGTGACTTCCCATGCCTGTCTCAGTGGACATCCCAGGGACTTTGCCTGCTGAGAGCCAGGCTGATGCATCAGCGTGTGGCCTCTGAGTGCAGCCTGGGAAGGGAAGACGCCAAATTTAGGAGTGGTCCCTGAAGGGCAGCGGGATGCTGGTGGGGATGAGAAGCAAGAAGATGAAGGCCAGGGGCTGGGCAGAGGGCCTGAGGAGGACTGCGGGCTCCTTACTGACTCCAAGAGCTGCTGGCATGTCATTTGAATTAACGATTTTCATAAATTAATTCAGCTGATAGTCAAATAAATTCACAGTCAGTTTAACTAAGCGAG